AATTGGTTGTCTTGTAAATATCTTATAAAGAGTTCAATTGTAAATAAACTATTGTGGCTGTTAATTTTTGAACTTCTGCTTCAATTTATTATATTTATTGGCAAACATTAAACAATTCTGCTTGTATATTTGAAACATTGGAAAAAGAAATCCATTTCCACAATAAAAAAGAGTAACACATTATTTTCCCCTTTATATAAGATACTCACTTTCATTTGTATATAAGTAGAATGTATGTTTCATCCTTCTCAATTGTCTAGTGTGCTTCCTTAAGTATAATCAGCAACTTGGCTGGGTGCAGTGGCTCACGCCTGTAATCCCAGCACTTTGGAGGCTGAGGTGGGCAGATCACTTGTGGTCAGTGGTTCAAGACCAGCCTGGCCAACAGTAAAACACGGTAAAATCTCATCTACTAAAAATACAAAAATTATCCAGGTGTGGTGGCATGCACCTGTTATCCTAGTTACTTGGGTGGCTAAGGCAGGAAAATCTCTTGAACCTGGGAAGTGGAATTAAGCCAAGATCAACCTACTACACTCCAGCCTGGGCGACAGTGAGACTCCATCTCAAAAAAAAAAAAAAAAAAGACTGAACACGTACCCACTCACTAGCGAAAACTAGGTAACTACCTATCCCAACGACCATAGGCACGGGCAACGGAACTATCCATGTCTACAACACACAAAAGCAAATGAGCAACAAAACCAAATGACAAATGCATCTAATCTCCAAACTAAAGCAGGCTTCTGCACAGCAACAGACACAACCATCCAGCGTGAAACAGGCAACCTACAAATGGAAAACCATTTTGCCATCTACCCATCCCTGACAAAGGCTAAATATCCGAACCAGTAAGCAACTCATCGAAGATTCCAAGAAAAAAACAACCCACCCGATCAAAAAACGTGGGAAGGACTGAACATCACACTCTTCATCAATAAGAACACACTATAAGCAATACGCCACAGACACAATGAAGACAAAAATGCTTGCCCTACACTCAGGACAAATCAGAAAATGCACAATCAACCCACATGAGAAATACCAAACCTCACAACCAGTACATAGAAAGAGCAGTCCTTACTCAAAAAGTCAGGCGACCACAGAGTGCATGGAGAAACTGATGCAAAAATAGGAACACTTTTACAAACTAGTATTGGGATTGGTAACACTGGTATCAACCCATTGATCGGAACAGTATCGAAACGATATCCTCAAAAGGATCATAAACATAGAATACCATAATGACCCAGCATCCCCATTACACGGGTATTCAAAATACATCCTCAAACGGATAGTACAACTCACAATACATGAATACTACGTCCTCGCGCAATAACATCCGTCCTTAAACTGAACAACTATTCACAATAGCACACGACTTATTTGAACGAACAAGATTTCATACAGCTGGACAGACTCGTACTAACAAAACATGTGCATCAAGACTCCCCATCGCTATATGCTCTACCTGCAACAAACACGACTCACACTAAATGATGCGTTTCGTGTCCTTCTGTAGCCCACTGCGAATCCACAGATCGCAACCATCATTCTCAGCAAAACCTAGAACTCCACGCCAACAACAACGAAACTCAAGCACCCGCTGTATCCTCCACTCATAGTCATTGGACAAAATGAGATCTTGACTGCTGAGACAGGGAAATCTCACACACGGCCCTACATTATTGGGAACGGGCAGGGGGGATGCCGGTGCATGCGCTCAGACGTTGACTTCCGATCTAAATACGACCTGAGGGTGCTGCAGATTGATCGGTGCACGCCCACAACAACACCGGATGCGGCCCGGTCAACTACGCTTTTTGTATTCTTTTTAGTAAGGACGGCAAAAGACAAACAAACAGAACAAAAAAACAACAAAACAAACCGAAACGGCTATGAAATATTAGAGGCCGTGGAGGGATCGGGGGCGGTGGTGCGAATACACCGTTTCACCGTGTAACCAGGCATGGTTCCGATCTCACTGACGCACTCGTGAGTCCGCCCGCCTTCGGCTCCCGAGTGCTGGGATTACAGATTAGTCCACCGCTACATCGGACTCTCATGAATTCTTCATTTATCTCTGAACAGGGCAAATATCTAGATGGCTACCCCAGTCTTCCATAGTTGTCTAAAAGATGATACCATCGGAATCCCTTACACCATGGTTATTATAAGAACATAACTTATTCATCTGTACTACAGACGAAACGGCTGCACTGTAGAGGCTCACTCCTGTAATTCCAGCACTTTGGAGGAATCCGCAGACGCGACGGAATATCATCTAGAATCAGCATGAGTTTGACACCCATTCCAGGGCCCTACACACAGGAACACCCCTCCTCTACTAACTTACACAACAAGCATAGCCGGCGCAGTGGTGTGGCCCGCCTGTTACTCCGCAGCTACTTGGAGTAGGCATGAGGCAGTAAATGCGCGCCTGAATCTCCTGCACGCGCAGCTTGCAGTGACGGCGAGAACGGCGCCACACTAGCACTGGCCCCCAGCCCTGGTGACAGAGTACTCCGTCCTCAAAAAAAAACATTTTTTTTTTTTTCTTTTC